AGCCTCTTCTGACACAATATTCTCTCTTCTCTCTTCCAGTCTCCCACGTCTCTTCCTTCTCTTCCAGCTCTTCTGTCTCTGGTCTCTCCGCCTCTTCAATCTTACTATTCTCTCTTCCAGCTCTATGGTCTCGTTTCCTTCTCTTCTGACTCTATTCACAATCTTCTGTTCTCTCCAGCGCTTCTCTCGTCTCCGTCTCTTCTTACTATTCTCTCTTCTGTCCCTGGTCTCGTTCTTACTCTTCTCTCTTCCAGCTCTCTTCTGTCTCTGGTCTATACACAATCTCCGCCTCTTTTGGCTTATTTCACTATCTGTCCCTGGTCTCGTCTCCGCTCTATACTGACTATTTTCTTCCACTTTCTCTCTTCTGTCTCTATACTCGTCTCCGTCTCTTCTCTCTTCAATCTTCACAATCTCTGTTCTCTGGTCTCGTCTCCGCCTCTTCCAGCTCTATTCACTCTCTTCTGTCCCTGGTCTCGTTTCCGCTCTTCTGACACTATTCTCTCTTCTCTCTCTTCTCGTCTCTATATTCTCTTCTTACATTATTCATTCTTCTGTCCCTCAATCTTCCGTCTATTCTCTCTTCTGTCTCTATCTCAATCTTCGCCTCTTCTGGTCTCTGTCCCAATCTTACTATTCTCTCTTCTCTATATGAAATTACTATTCATTATTCTCTCTTCTGTCTTACTATTCTCGTCTCCCAGCTCTTCTATGAATCTTTACTATTCAGCTCTATTCTGTCTGTGCCTGGTCTCGTCTACACCGTCTCTTCTATTCTATTCTCTCTTCTGTCTCTTACTTTCATCGTCTTCCAGCTCTTCTGACACAATCTCTCTTCTGTCTGGTCTCGTCTCCGTCTTCTGGACAATCTTCTCTTCTCTTCCTGGTCTCGTCTCCATCTCTTCTGACACTATTCTCTCTTCTGTCTCTGGTCTCTATTCTCCGCGCTCTTCTGACACTATTCTCTCTTCTGTCCCTGGTCTCGGTCTCCAGTCTCTTCTGACATTATTCTCTCTCTTCTGTCTCTGGTCTCGTCTCCAGCTCTTCTGAACACTATTCTCTCTTCTGTCTCTCTGGTCTCGTCTCCGTCTCTTCTGACATTATTCACAATCTTACTATTCTGTCCAGCCCTATATAAAATCTCGTCTCCGCCTCTTCTGACATTATTCACTCTTCTGTCTCTGGTCTCGTCTCCGTCTTCTGACACTATTCTCTCTTCTTCTCTGGTCTCGTCTTCCAGCTCTTCTGTTCACAATTCTCTCTATTCTCTCTTCTCCGCGCTTCTCCATCTATTACTCTTCTGTCCCTCTCGTATACACCTCTTCTCTCGTCTCTCTTCTGTTACTGGTCTCGTCTTCGTCTCTTCTCAATCTTACTATTCTCTCTTCTGTCCCTTTACTCGTCTCTCGTCTCCAGCTCTCTGACTATTCTCTTCTCTCTTCTGTCCCTGATCTCGTCTCCGCCTCTTCTGAACACTATTCTCTCTTCTGTCTCTGGTCTCGTCTCCGTCTCTTCTGACATTATTCACTCTTCTGTCCTGGTCTCGTCTCCGTCTCTTCTGACACTATTCTCTCTTCTGTCCTGAAATCTCGTCTCCGTCTCTTCTGACACTATTCTCTCTTCTGTCTCTCTTCTCGTCTCCATCTCTTCTGACATTCTTCTCTCTTCTGTCTCTGGTCTCGTCTCCAGCGTCTCTTCTGACACTATTCTCTCTTCTGTCTCTGGTCTCGTCTCCGTCTCTTCTGACACTATTCTCTTCTTCTCTCTGTAGTCTCGTCTCCGCCTCTTCTGACACTATTCTCTCTTCTGTCTCTGGTCTCGTCTCCGTCTCTTCTGACACTATTCTCTCTTCTGTCTCTGGTCTCGTCTCCGTCTCTTCTGACATTATTCCTCTTCTCCTCTTCCATCTCGTCTCCGCCTCTTCTGACACTATTCTTCTGTCTCTTGTCTCTTACTATCTCCTTCCAGCTGCTTCTGACGTACTTCACTTCTCTCCCTGGTCTCGTCTCCATTCTTCTGACACTATTCTCTCTTCCAGCTCTATACACAATCTTACTATTCTCTCTTCCAGTTCTATATGAAATCTTACTATTCTCTACCAGCTCTATACACAATCTTACTATTCTCTTCCAGCTTACACAATCTTACTATTCTCTCTCTTCCAGTTCTATATGAAATTACTATTTCTCTTCCATGCTTATACACAATTCATTTATTCTCCAGCGCTATACACAATCTTACCATTCTCTCTCTTCCAGCTCTATACACACCTTTACTATTCTCTCTCTTCCAGCTCTATACACACTCCATTTATTCTCTCCAGCTCTATACACAATCTTTACTATTCTCTCTTCCAGCGCTTATACACAATCTTACTTCTATTCTCTCTTCCAGTTCTATATGAAATCTTACTATTCTTCTACCAGCTCTATATACAATCTTACTATTCTCTTCCAGCTATACACAATCTTACTATTCTCTCTTCCAGTTCTATATGAAATCTTACTATTCTCTCTTTCCGCTCTATACACAATCTTACTATTCTCTCTCTGCCAGCTCTATACAATCTTACTATTCTCTTTTCCCCAGCTCCTATATGAAATCACTTTATTCTCTCTTCCAGCTTCTCTATACAATCTTACTATTCTCTCTTCCAGCTCTATACACAATCTTACTATTCTCTCTTCCAGCTCTATGAAATCTTACTATTCTCTCTACCAGCTCTATACACAATCTTTACTATTCTCTCTTCCAGCTCTATACTCTCTTCCACAATCTTACTATTCTCTCTTCCAGCTCTATACAAATCTTACTATTCTCTCTTCCAATCTTATTCTCTCTACACAATCTTACTATTCTCTCTTCCAGCTCTATATGAAATCTTACTATTCTCTCTTCCAGCTCTATACACAATCTTACTATTCTCTCTTCCTCTATACACAATCTTATTCTTCTCTCTCTCTTCTATATGAAATCTTTTATTCTCTCTTCCAGCGCTATACAATCTTACTATTCTCTCTTCCAGTTCTATATGAAATCTTTACTTTCTCTACCAGCGCTATACACAATCTTATTCTCTCTTCCCAGCTCTATACTTAATCTTTTCTTCTCTCTTCCAGCTCTGTGTGAATCTTACTATTCTCTCTACCAGCCTTATACACAGTCTTACTATTCTCTCTTCCCAGCTCTGTAAGTCTTTTCTCTCTTCCCAGCTCTGTATGAAATCTTACTATTCTCTCTCTCGGCGCTATGCACAGTCTTTATTCTTCTCTTCCAGCTCTGTGAAATCTTTTATTCTCTTCCCAGCTCTATGTGATCTTTTCTTCTCTCTACCAGCGCTATACATGTCTTACTATTCTCTCTTCCCGCTCTATACTTAATCTTACTATTCTCTCTTCCAGCTCTTTGTTTATGGAACTTACTATTCTCAGCTTCCCTGTTTATGGAACTCTCTTCCAGCCCTTGCTTATGGAACCTTTCCGTTCTCTCTTTGAACCACAATCTTCCTCTCTTCCTTGCATATGCAACCTTACCATTCTCTTTGTCCGGAACTATATAAATTCTTGTTTATGGAATCTCTTTCCAGTTCTTGCTTATGGAACTCCTTTTTCATTCTTCCAGCCCTGTTTATGGAACTCTCTCTTCCAGCTCCTTGTTTATGGAACTCTTCCAGCTCCTTTGCCTTTTTTCCAGCTCTTGAACTGAACTTCCAGCGCTTGCTTATGGAACTCTCTTTCCAGCTCCTTGCATATGGAACTCTTCCCCAGCCCTTGCTTATGGAACTCTTCCAGCTCCTTGTCATATGGAACCTCCTTCCAGCTCCTTGCTTATGGAACTCTCTCTTCCAGCTTCTTGCTTATGGAACCTCTTCCAGCTCTTTCTTGGAACTCAAGCTTTATGGAACCTTTTCCCTTGCTTATGGAATTTTCCAGCTTTGCTTATGGAACTCTTGCTTATGGAACTTCTTGTCTGCAGGAACTCTCTTCCAAATTCTCTTTTGCTTTTGCTTATGGAACTCTCTTCCAGTTTCTTGCCTTGCTTATGGAACTTCTCTTCCAGCTTCTTGCCTATGGAACTCTCTTCCAGCCCTTGTCTGGAGGAACTCTCTTCCAGGTCTCCTTGCTTATGGAATCTCTTCCACCTTCTTTATGGAACTCTGAACTCTTTTCCCTCCATCAAAGCAAATTATGGAGTCTCTCAAATTCCGTCCATCTAATCTCTCAAATTCTACATTCGTTGGTTGGTTGGAACTTTGGAACTCTTTTCCCTCCATCAAAGCCATTATGAGTCTCAAATTCCGTCATCTAATCACGCCTACTTTCGCTGGTTGCATTTGGAACTCTTTTCCTCCATCAAAGCCACCTTCTGAGTCTACCTTCCTCTCTTTTCACTCTCCACTTTCACTTCAGTTCTGCCTTCCTCTCTTTTTTCCCCTCCATCAAAGCTCGAGTCTTCTCAAATTCCGTCATCTAATCACCTTTTGGAATTCTCTCCATCAAAGCCATCTTCTCTCAAATTCCATCCTAATCACGCTCTCTCCTTCTTGACTCTTGGAACCTTTTTTTTCATCAAAGCTCCATCCACCTCTACTTTCTTCTTCCTCCATCAGACATTATGAGTCTAAATTCCTCTTTTCCTAATCACCTCTCGCTTCGTTGGTTGCCTACCCATTCCCTCTCATTAATCACGCTCCATCCACCTTTTTCTCCATCGCTTATGAGTCTCTACCTTCCGTCATCTAATCACCATCCACCTTCTTGGTTGCTGGAACTCTTTCCTTCCATCTCCTTTTCAGTCTCAAATTCCATCCACCTCTCGCTTCTTTCTCTGCTTCCTCTTGAATTTTTTTTCTCCATCAAAGCCATTCTGAATCTCTCTTCCGTCATCTTTCACGCTCTACATCCAACCTTTTTCTCCATCAAAGCCATTATGATCTGACTAACTGCCTACATTCGTTGGTTGCCTTTGGAACTCTTTTCCCTCCATCAACCTCTCCTATTATGACTCTACCTTCCTCTCTTTTCACGCCATTTAGTTGGCTGCCTTGAACCTCTCGCCATTATGAGTCTTCAAATGAATCATCTAATCAGGCTCTACATTCCCTCCATCAGCTCTCTTTTCCTCATCTAATCACCTCTCCTTCTGACTCTACCTTCCTCTTTTTCCCTCCATCCACCTCTCGCTTCTCTCTCTCTACCTTCCTCATCTTTTCACGCTCATCCACCTCTTTTCCTCCATCAAAGCTCTACCTTCCTCTCATCTTCACGCTCCATATCAAACCTTTTTCCCTCCATTCTGAGTCTACCTTCCTCCTTTCCTCCAATCACCTCAACTTCTTGGTTGCCTTTGGAATTCTTTTCACTCCATCCAAGTTTATTATGAGTCTCTACCTTCCTCTCTTTTCACTCCATCCTTTCTCTCCTTTGGAATTTTTTCCCTCCATCAAAGCTTTATCCCTCCATCCACCTCTCATCTAATCACGCTCTACTTTCGTTGGTTGCTTTTCCTCCATTTCCCTCTCAGCCATTCTGAGTCTACCTTCCTCTTTCCTCCATCACCTCTCTCTCGTTGGTTGACTTTACCTTCCTTTTTCCTCCATCACCTCTCATTTCTGACTCTACCTTCCTCTCTTTTCACGCCATCCACCTCCGTTGGTTGCCTTTGGAACTCTTTTCCTCCATCCACCTCTCGCTTCCACTCTCATTTCCTTCCTCTCTTTTCTCTCATCCACCTCTCGTTTCTGACTCTACCTTCCTCTCTTTTTCACTCCATCCACCTCTCCGTTTCTGAATCTACCTTCCTCTCTTTCACTCCATCCCTTGAACCTCTCGCTTCTGACTCTACCTTCCTCTCTTTTCACTCCATCCACCTCTCGCTTCTGACTCTACCTTCCTCTCTTTTCACTCCATCCACCTCTCGCTTCTGACTCTACCTTCCTCTCTTTTCACTCCATCCACCTCTCGCTTCTGACTCTACCTTCCCTCTTTTTCACTCCATCCACCTCTCTCGCTTCCTGAACTCTACCTTCCTCTCTTTCACTGTTCCATCCATCTACCTCTCTCTTCTGACTCTACCTTCCTCTCTTTTCACTCCATCCACCACTCTCTTCTGAATCTACCTTCCTCTCTTTCACTCCATCCACCTCTCCTCTTCTGAATTCTGTCCTTCCCTCTCTTTTCATTCCATCCACCTCGCCTCCAATGCTTCTGAATCTACCTTCCTCTCATTTTCACTCACCTCCACCTCTCTTCTGACTCTACCTTCCTCTCTTTTCACTCCATCCACCACTCATTCTGAATCTACCTTCCTCTTTTCATCCATCCACCTCTCCTTCCTGAATCTACCTTCCTCCATCTTTTCCTCCATCCACCTCTCCTTCTGACTCTTTTTCCCTCTTCCTCTCTTTTCCTCCATCCACCTCTCCTTCTGAATCTACCTTCCTCTCTTTTTTCCTCCATCACCTCTCTTCTGAGTCTCTACCTTCCTCTCTTTTCCTCCATCCACCTCTCGCTGGTTGATCTACCTTCCCTCTTTTCCTCCATCCACCTCTCCTTCTGAGTCCTACCTTCCTCTTTTTTCTCCATCCACCTCTCTCTTCTGACTCTACCTTCCTCTCTTTTCACTCCATCCACCTCTCTCTTCAGAGTCTACCCTTCCTCTCTTTTCCTCCATCCACCTCTCGTTTCGACTCTACCTTCCTCTTTTCCTCCATCACCTCTCCTTCTGAATCTACCTTCCTCTCTTCATCCATCCCACCTCTCTCTTCTCTCTGCCTTCCTCTCTTTTTCACTCCATCCACCTCTCTCTTCTGACTCTACCTTCCCTCTTTTCCTCCATCCACCTCTCTTCTGAATCCTTCCTCTCTTTTTCCTCCATCCACCTCTCTCTTCTGAGTCTTCCTTCCGTCTCTTTCCTCCCATCCACCTCTCGCTTCTGACTCTACCTTCCTCTCTTTTCCTCCATCCACCTCTCTTCCGTCATCTTCTGACTCTACCTTCCCTCTCCTTTTCCTCCATCCAAAGCCATTATGAGTCTCTCTTCTGAATCACGCTACCTTCCTCTCTTTTCACTCCATCCACCTCTCTCTTCTGAGTCTTCCTTCCCCTCTTTCACTCCATCCACCTCTCTCTTCTGAATCTACCTTCCTCTCTTTTTCTCCATCCACCTCTCTCTTCTGACTTGCCTTCCTCTCTTTTTCCTCCATCCAGACATTCTTCTGAATCTACCTTCCTCTCTTTTCACTCCATCCACCTCTCTCTTCTGACTCAAATACCTCATCCTCGCTTTTCGTTGGTTGCCTTTGGAACTCCATCCACCTCTCGCTTCTGAGTCTACTCCTCTCTTTCATCCAATCACCTCTCGCTTCTTGGTTACCTTCCTCTTTTTCCCTCCATCAAAGCTCTCATTCTGAGTCTCTAAATTCCTCTCTAATCACTCATCCACCTCTCGGTTTCTGACTTTACCTTCCCTCTCTTTTCAAATCCATCATCCTCACGCTTATGAATCTACCTTCCTCTCTTTCCTCCATCCACCTCTATGAGTCTTCTGACTCTACCTTCCTCTCTTTTCCTCCATCACCCCTCTCCACTTCTGAGAGTCTTCTCTCTTCGTCATCATCACCTCTCCTTTCTTGGTTGCCTTTGGAATTCTTTTCCTCCATCCACCTCTCTTGTGAGTCTCTCAAATTCCGTCTCTTTTCACTCCATCCACCTCTCTGCCTTGAACCTTTTGGAACCTCTTTTTCCTCCATCCAAGCCTCTTCTGAGTCTTCCTCTCTTTCGTCATCTAATCCGCTCTACTTCGCTGGTGAATCTACCTTCTCTTTTTTCCTCCATCCACCTCTCTCTTCTGAATCACCTTCCTCCTCTTTTCCTCCATCCACCTCTCGCTTCTGAATCTTGAACCTTCCTCTCTTTTCACTCCATCCCCTCTCTCTTCTGACTCTCTACCTTCCTCTCTTTTCCTCCATCCCTCTCTCTTCTGACTCTTCCTTCCTCTCTTTTTCACTCCATCCACCTCTCTCTTCTGACTCTTCTTCCTCTCTTTTCCTCCATCCACCTCTCGGTTCTGCCTCTACCTTCCTCTTTTTCCTCCATCCACCTCTCTAAGGAGACTCTACCTTCCTCTCTTTTCACTCATCCACCTCTCGCTTCTGAATCTACCTTCCTCTCTTTTCCTCCATCCACCTCTCTCTTCTGACTCTACCTTCCTCTCTCTTTTTCATCCATCCACCTCTCTCTTCTGACTCTACCTTCCTCTTTTCCTCCATCCACCCTCTCTTCTGACTATACCTTCCTCTCTTTTCACCATCCACCTCTCCTTCTGAATCTACCTTCCTCTTTCTTTTCACTCCATCCACCTCTCGCTTCTGACTCTACCTTCCTCTTTTCACTCCATCCACCTCTCTTCTGACTCTACCTTCCTCTTTTTCACCATCCACCTCTCTCTTCTGACTCTACCTTCCTCTCTTTTCACTCCATCCACCTCTCTTCTGACTCTGCCTTCCCCTCTTTTCCCTCCATCCACCTCTCCTTCTGACTCTACCTTCCTCTTTCCTCCATCCACCTCTCTCTTCTGAATCCTACCTTCCCTCTTTTTCCTCCATCCACCTCTCGTTTCCCCTGACTCTACCTTCCTCTCTTTCCTCCATCCACCTCTCGCTTCTGACTCTACCTTCTCTCTTTTCACTCCATCCACCTCTCCTTCTGAATCTACCTTCCTCTCTTTCCTCCATCCACCTCCTTCTGACTCTACCTTCCTCTCTCTTTTCCCTCCATCCACCTCTCCTTCTGAATCTACCTTCCTCTCTTTTCCTCCATCCCCCTCTCCTTCTGACTCTTCTTCCTCTCTCTTTCATTCCATCCACCTCTCTTCTGAATCTACCTTCCTCTCTTTTCCTCCATCCACCTCTCACTTCTGACTCTACCTTCCTCTCTTTTCCTCCATCCACCACGCTCTTCTGACTCTACCTTCCCTCTTTTCCTCCATCCACCTCTCTTCTGACTCTACCTTCCTTTCTTTTCCTCCATCCCTCTCCTTCTGACTCTACACCTTCCTCTCTTTCCATCCACCTCCACCTCTGAATCTACCTTCCTCTCTTTTTCACTCCATCCACCTCTCTCTTCTGACTCTACCTTCCCTCTCTTCCTCCATCCACCTCTCGCTTCTGACTCTACCTTCCTCTCTTTCACTCCATCCACCTCTCGCTTCTGACTCTACCTTCCTTCTTTTCCTCCATCCACCTCTCTCTTCTGACTCTACCTTCCTCACTTTTTCCTCCATCCACCTCTCGCTTCTCTATCTCCTTCTTTTCTCCTTCCTCCATCCACCTCTCTCTTCTGACTCTGCCTTCTTCTCTTTTCCTCCATCCACCTCTCTTCTGAATCTACCTTCCTCTCTTTCCTCCATCCACCTCTCTCTTCTGACTCTACAACCTCTCTTTTCACTCCATCCACCTCTCCTTCTGAATCTACCTTCTCTCTTTTCCTCCATCCACCTCTCTTCCTCCATCCCTCTACCTTCTCTTCTTTCCTCCATCCACCTCTCCGTTCTGACTCTACCTTCCTCTCTTTTCCTCCATCCACCTCTCGCTTCTTCCTACCCTCTTTTCACTCCATCCACCTCTCGCTTCTGACTCTACCTTCTCTCTTTTCCTCCATCCACCTCTCCTTCTGACTCTACCTTCCTCTCTTTTCATTCCATCCACCTCTCGCTTCTGAATCTACCTTCCTCTCTTTTCCTCCATCCACCTCTCGCTTCTGAATCTACCTTCCTCTCTTTCCTCCATCCACCCCTCTCCTTCTGACTCATTCTTCCTCCTTTTTTCCTCTCCATCCACCTCTCTCTTCTGACTCTACCTTCCCTCTTTTCCTCCATCCCCTCTCTCTCTTCTGACTTCTACCTTCCTCTCTCTTTCACTTACCCCTCTCTCGCTTCTACCTTTTCTACCTTCCTCTTTTCACTCCATCCACCTCTCGCTTCTGAATCTGCCTTCCCCTCTTTTCCTCCATCCACCTCTCGCTTCTGAATCTACCTTCCTCTCTTTTCTCCATCCACCTCTCTTCTGAATCTACCTTCCTCTCTTCACTCCATCCACCTCTCCTTCTGACTCTACCTTCCTCTTTTCCCTCCATCCACCTCTCCTTCTGATACCTTCCTCTCTTTTCACTCCATCCACCTCTCCTTCTGAATCCCCTTCCTTTCTTTTTCACTCCATCCACCTCTCTCTTCTGACTCTACCTTCTCTCTTTCCTCCATCCACCTCGCTTCTGACTCTACCTTCCTCTCTTTTCACTCCATCTCCTCTCTTCTGACTCTACCTTCCTCTCTTTCCTCCATCCACCTCTCCTTCTGATCTTCCTTCCTCTTTTCACTCATCCACCTCCTTTGACTCTACCTTCCTCTCTTTTCACTCCATCCACCTCTCCTTCTGACTCTACCTTCCCCTCTTTTCACTCCATCCACCTCTCTCTTCTGAATCTACCTTCCTCTCTTTTCACTCCATCCACCCCTCTCTCTTCTGTCTACCTTCCCTCTTTTTCACTCCCATCCACTCTCTCGCTCCTGATCTACCTTCCTCTCTTTCCTCCATCCACCCCTCTCTCTTCTGACTCTACCTTCCTCTCTTTTCCTCCATCCACCTCGCTTCTGAATCCTACCTTCCTCTCTTTTTCCCCATCCACCTCTCCTTCTGACTCTACCTTCCTCTCTTTTCCTCCATCCACCTCTCTTCTGACTTTCTACATTCCTCTCTTTTCACTCCATCCACCTCTCTCTTCTGACTCTTCTTCCTCTCTTTCCTCCATCCACCTCTCTCTTCGGCTCTTCCTTCTCTCTTTTCCACTCCATCCACCTCTCGCTTCTGAATCTACCTTCCTCTTTTTTCCATCACCTCTCTTCTGACTCTACCTTCCTCTCTTTTCCTCCATCCACCTCTCACTTCTGACTCTACCTTCCTCTCTTTCACTCCATCCACCCTCTCTTCTGGCTCTACCTTCCTCTCTTTCACTCCATCCCTCTCGCTTCTGACTCTACCTTCCCTCTTTCACTCCATCCACCTCTCCTTCTAGATCTACCTTCCTCTGCTTCCTCCATCCACCCCTCTCTTCTGACTCACCTTCCTCTCTTTCACTCATCCACTCTTCTGAATCTACCTTCCTCTCTTTTCACTCATCTTTCTCCTTCGGCTATACCTTCCACTCTTTTTACTCATCCCTCTCTTCTGAATCTACCTTCCTTTCTTTTCACTCCATCCACATATTTAAACTCTACCTTCTCCTTTTCCTCATCCACCTCTCTCTTCCGACTCTACATTCCTCTCTTTCACTCATCCACCTCTCTCTGACTCTTCCTTCCTCTCTCTTCACTCATCCTCTCTCTTCCTGACTCTTCCCTTCCTCTCTCTCTTCACTCCATCCACCTCTCCTTCTGGCTCCTACCTTCCTCTCTTTCCTCTCCACCTGCTCTTTGCTTCTGGAACTCTCTTCCAGCCTTCCCCTACTTTTCCTCCCATCACCTCCTTCTTCCAGCTCTTTGCACCTTTTCTTCTCCTTGCTTTCAACCTCCATCAGGCTCTCTCTTCCTCTTCCCGCTCTTTGCTTCCTCTCTTTCAGCTCCATGCATAAATTCTCTTCATCCTTGCTTATAAAATTCTCTTCCTCCATGCCACCTCTCTTAGCTTCTGACTATGGAACTCTCTCCTCTCTTTTCACTCTCTTCCACCTCCTTATGGACTCTACCTTCCTTGCTCATGGAACTCTCTTGCATCCACTTTTCTCTCTTCAGCTCCTTGCATATGGAACTCTCTTCCTCTTTGCTTATGGAACTCTCTCTCTTGTAATTTTCCTCCTTGCTTTCCTCCATCTTTGCTCATGGGAACTCTTCTGACTTGCCTTCTTTTTTCCTTATCACACATGAATTCTCTTTTAATCCTTATAACACTCTTCCCCTGTCCTTGTTAAAAATCCTAACTCTTTTCCTCTCCAAAACTTATGAAACTCTCTTCCAGTATCAAGACGCAGACGTACCTTCCTTCTCTTCAAAAAAATCCAATAAAACCACTCTTTTCAACTATGGGGAATCTCTTCCAAATTTTTTCAAATGTTCTCTTCATCCATCAGCTCTCCTCTCTTCTCCTTGCCTTCCTCTCTTTCAGCTCATCCAAATATGGAAAATACAATGAACTCTTTATCTTTGCTCTTTCCTTCCATCCCTTCCAATGGAGGACTCTGCCATTATTGTTCCTTTATCTTTTTTAATCCAAACGAAAATATATTTGCTTATAAACAGCTCTTTGTTCCTCTCTTCCAGCTCTTTGGAAGAACTTATCTCTCTTCCTCTCTTTTCCTCCTTCCACCTACAGTCTTATGAAAAAAGTTCCAAGCTCCTTTTAAAAACATCCACCTCTCCTTGGTGGAAGGATACTTCCTCTCAATCAGTATCAGGATACGGTGGAAAGTCTCTTCTCTTCCTTCTTTCTTCCCGCTCACTGGAAAGTAAAACGGAAGGAGGGCTCTTTGCATGGAAAAATCATCCAAGCTTCGTAAGTGAACGGAAGGAGGAATTCTTTCCTTTTTAAAAAATATATTCTTCCTGGTCCCTTCCACCTCTTGTGTTCTGAAAGAAGAACATATCCAGAAAAATGTCGGAAGAAAAACAGGATGGAGAACTCTCTTCCAGCAGAGGATATGGATGTCTTTTCCTCCATAAAGATTCTCTCGCTTCTGAACTCTCTTCCAGCTCTTTAAACCATCCTCTTCTCCTTTTGTTGTTTTTTGAAATCCTCTCTTTTTCTTATGGAAAGGCCAAAGAAAACAGGATGGAGAAATTGAGATAGAGGAGTTCTTCCAGCTCCTCTTTTCAGGGTCTCAAAGAAACCTCCCTTAAACGCTTCCTGCTCTTTATTCCTCTCTTTCAAATCATTAAAACACTGAAAACAGAAGAGACTCATAAAGAATGTCTCTCGATGATGATCCTAATCCAAAAAAGTTCCAGCTCCCTTTTCATTGAGTCTCTCAAATCCGTCAACTAATCGCTCCTTCCTCTTTTCCTCCATCCACCTCTCATTATTAGTCTCTTCACCTTCCTCTCTCTTTCACTCTCCACCTTCGTTGGTGGAACTACCTTCCTCTTTTCCTCTCTTCCACCTCTTTGCTTATGGATCTACCTTCCTCTCTTTTCACTCTCTTCCTTTCGTTGTCTTTTCCCTCCTAATTAAAATTATCTCTTCTTCTTTGCTTTGGTTGCCTTTGGAACTCTTTTCCCTCCATCAAACCATTATCCAGCTCTCTCAAATTCCGTCATCTAATCACGCTCTACTTTCGTTGGTTTTGCTTTGGAACTCTTTCCAGCTCCATCAAATGCCATTCTCTTCCAGTCTCTCAAATTCCGTCATCTAATCCAGCTCTACTTTCGTTGGAACTCTCCCAGCTTTTATGGAACTCTTTTCCCTCCATCAAAACTCATTATCCAGTCTCTTGCAAATTCCGTCATCTAATCACGCTCTACTTTCAGTTGGTTGCCTTTGGAACTCTTTTCCCTCCATCAAAGCCATTATGGAACTCTCTCAAATTTGCGTCATCTAATCCAGCTCTACTTTCGTTGGTTGCCTTTGGAACTCTTTTCCCTCCATCAAAGCCACTATCTTCCAGCTCAAATTCCTTCATCTAATCTTTCTCTACTTTCGTTCCTCTACCTTCCCTCTCTTCCTCCTCCTCTCCTTCTTAATTCTCTTCCAGCTCTTTTCCTCCATCTCTTCCTCTCTTCTGACTCTTCAGCTCTCTCTTTTCCTCCATCCAGCTCACTTTGAAGACTCTCTTCCTCTCTTTTCACTCATCACCTCTCTTCCAGCTCCTATACCTTCCTCTCTTTTCCTCCATCCACCTCTCCTTGCTCATGAATCTCTTCCTTCCTTTCTTTTCTCTCCATCCTTGCATATGGAACTCTCTTCCAGCTACCTTCCTCTCTTCTCCTTGCTCACCCACTCTCTTCCAGCTCTACCTCTCTTTTCACTCCATCTAGACTCTCTTCTTCACTTGTAGAACTCTCTTCTCTTTTCTCTTCCAAAAACCCCTTGCATATCTCTTCCAGCTCTTTGCTTATAGGAACTACCTTCTTCTTGCTTCAAATTCTTTCCTCCATCCACCTCTTCCCAGCTCTTTGCCCTTGGAACTTCTACCCTTGCATGGAACTCTCTTCCTTTGCCATCCACCACTCTCTTCTGACTCTTTGCTTACCTTCCTTCTCTTTCCTCCATGGAATTCTCTTCCCAGCTCCTTGCCCCTTCCCTCTTTTCACTCATCCTCTCTCGCTTCTGAATCCTTCCTCTCTTTTCCATCCATCACCTCTCTCTTCGGCTCTACCTTCCTCTCTTTCCTCCATCCTCTCTCTTCTGAATCTATTCCCTCTCTTCCTCCATCTCCTCTCGCTTCTGACTACCTTCCTCTCTTTTCACTCATCCACCTCCTTCTGAATCTACCTTCCTTTCTTCCTCCATCCACCTCTCGCTTCTGACTCTACCTTCCTCACTCTCTTCCAGCTCTTTTGCTCATGGAACTCTCTTACAGCTCCTTTGTTTCTGGAACTCTACATTTCCTCTGCTTATGGAACTCTCTTGCATCCAATTCCTTCCAGCTCTTGCTTGATGGAACTCTTCCAGCTCCTTCCTCTCTCTTCCAGCTCTTTGGAACTCTCTTCCAGCCTCTCTGGACTATCTCTTCCTTGCTTGCTCCAGCTCCTTGCTTATGAACTCCTTCCAGCTCCTTGTTTAAGGCTCTCTTCCTGCTCTTTGCTTATGGAACTCTCTTCCCCTCCTTCCAGCTCTCCCAGCTCTCTTCTGGAACTCTCTTCCTTCCCAGCTTGCTTATGGAACTCTCTTCCAGCTCCTTGCATGTTCTCTTTCAGCTCTTTGCCTATCCTCTCTCTTCCAGCTCCTTGCATATGGAACTCTCTTCCAGCTCTGCTTATGGAACCTCTTCCAGCTCCTTGCTTATGGAACTCTCTTCCAGCTCCTCCAGCTCTTTTGCTAGAACTCTCTTCCAGCTCTTTGCATGGACTCTCTTCCAGCTCTTGCTTATGGAACTCTCTTCAGCTCCTTGTATATGGAACTCTCTTCCAGCTCCTTGCTTATGGAATTCTCTTCCAGCTCTTTTGCAGAACTCTCTTCCTCCTTGCTTATCTCTTCTCTCTTCCTCCTTGCTTATGGAACTCTCTTCCAGCTCTTTGCTTGTGAACTCTCTCTTTGCATATGGAATTCAGCTCCTTGCTTATAAAAATTCTCTCTTCCCTCCTTCTTTGCTTATGGAACTCTCTCCAGCTCCTTTGCTTATGGAATTCTCTTCCAGCTCCTTGCTTATGGACTCTCTTCCAGCTCTTTCTATGGAACTCTCTTCCAGCTCCTTGCATAGAAATTCTCTTCCAGCTCCTTGCATATGGAACTCTCTTCCTGCTCTTTGCTTATGGAACTCTCTTCCAGCTCTTTGCTTATGGAACTCTCTCTCTTTGCCATGGAACTCTCTTCCAGCTCCTTTCTTATGGAACTCTCTTCTCTTCTTTCCAGCTCGCATGGAACTCTTTCCAGCTCCTTTTGTCTCTTCCAGCTCTTTCTTCTCTTTCTTCTCCTTGCTTATGGAACTCTCTTCCAGCTCTTTTCCAGCTTTTGCTTATGGAACTCTCCAGCTTCTCCTTTTGCATGGAATTCTCTTTTTCCTTGCTTATAAAACTCTCTTCCAGCTCTTTGCTTATGGAACTCTCTTTCCTTGCTTATGGAACTCTCTTCCAGCTCCTTGCTTATGGAACCTCTTCCAGCTCCTTGCTTATGGAACTCTCTTCCCGTCCTTGCTTATGGAACTCTCTTCCAGCTTCCTGCTCTTTGCTTATGGAACTCTCTTTTCTCCTTGCTTATGGAGAACCTCTTCTCCTTGCTCTTTGCTTATGGAACTCTCTTCCAGCTTTTGCTCCTCTTCCAGCTCCTTTGCTTTATGGAATTCTCTTCCAGCTCCTTGCTTATGGAACTCTCTTCCAGCTCTTTGCATATGGAATCTCTTTCCAGGTCTTCCAGCTCTCTTCTCCTTGCTTATGGAATTCTCCTTGACTCTTCCAGCTCTCTTCTCTTGCTTATGGAACTCTCTTCCAGCTCCTTGCTTATGGAACTCTCTTCTCCTTTCCATATGGAACTCTCTCTTCTTTGCTTATGGAACTCTCTTCCAGCTCCTTGCATATGGAATTCTCTTCCAGCTCCTTGCTTATAAAATTCTCTTCCAGCTCCTTGCTTATGGAACTCTTCTCCTTGTTTGCTCTCTGCTCCTTGCATATGGAACTCTCTCCAGGAACTCTCTTCTCCTTTGCTTATGGAATTCTCTTCCACTCCTTGCTTATAATTCTCTTCCAGCTCCTTGCTTATGGAACTTCTTCTTCTCCTCCTTGCTTATGGAACTCTCTTCCAGCTCCTTGCTGCTCTCTTGTCCATTGCTTGCTTATGGAACTCTCTTCAGCTCCTTGCCGAATTGGAACTCTTCCAGCTCTTTGCTTATGGAACTCTCTTCCAGCTCCTTGCTTATGGAATCTCTTCCAGCTCCTTGCAAATAGAACTCTCTTCCAGCTCTTTGCTTATGGAACTCTCTTCTCTCTTGCTTATGGAACTCTCTCCAGCTCCTTGCATATGGAACTCTCTTCCAGCTCCTTTGCTTATGGAACTCTCTTCCTGCTCTTTGCTTCCCACTCTCTTCCAGCTCCTTGCTCCTTGTTTATTCTCTTCCAGCTCCTTGCTTATGGAACTCTCTTCCAGCTCTTTGCTTATGGAATTCTCTTCTCTTTGCTTATGGAACTCTCTTCCAGCTCTTTGTTTATGGAACTCTCTTCCAGCTCTTTGCTTATAAAACTCTCTTCCAGCTCCTTGTTGGAACTTCTCTTCCTGCTCCTTGCTTATGGAACTCTCTTCCAGCTCTTCTCTCTTCTCCTTGCTTATAGAACTCTCTTCCAGCTCTTTGTTTTATGGAACTCTCTTCCAGCTCCTTGCTTATAAAACTCTCTTCCAGCTCCTTGCTTATGGAACTCTCTTCCAGCTCCTTGCTTATGGAACTCTCTTCTTCCTTGCTTATGGAACTCTCTCTCCAGCTCTTCTCCTTGCATATGGAACTCTCTTCCAGCTCTTTGCTTATGGAACTCTCTTCCTGCTCTTGCTTATGGAACTCTTCCAGCTTCTTGCTTTATGGAACTCTCTTCCAGCTCTTTGCTTATAAACTCTCTTCCAGCTCTTTTGCTTATGGAACTCTCTTCCAGCTCCTTTGCTTATGGAACTCTCTTCCAGCTCCTTGCTTATGGAATTCTCTTCCAGCTCTTTGCTTATGGAACTCTCTTCCAGCTCTTTGCTCTCTCTTCTCCTTGCTTGTGGAATTCTCTTCCAGCTCCTTGCTTATGGAACTCTCTTCCAGCTCTTTGCTTATGGAACTCTCTTCCAGCTCCTTGCATATGGAATTCTCTTCCAGCTCCTTGCTTATGGAATTCTCTTCCAGCTCCTTGCTTATGGAACTCTCTTCCAGCTCCTTGTTTATGGAATTCTCTTCCAGCTCCTTGCTTATGGAACTCTCTTCAGCTCCTTGCTTATGGAACTCTCTTCCAGCTCCTTGCTTATGGAACTCTCTTCCAGCTCCTTGCTTATGGAACTCTCTTCCAGCTCCTTGCATATGGAACTCTTCCAGCTCCTTGCTTATGGAACTCTCTTCCAGCTCTTTGCTTATGGAACTCTCTTCTCTCTTGCTTGGAATTCTCTTCCAGCTCTTTGCTTATGGAACTCTCTTCCAGCTCCTTTTTATGGAACTCTCTTCCAGCTCCTTGCTTATGGAACTCTCTTCCAGCTCCTTGCTTATGGAACTCTCTTCCAGCTCCTTGCATATGGAACTCTCTTCCAGCTCTTTGCTTATGGAACTCTCTTCTCCTTGCTTATGGAATTCTCTTCCAGCTCCTTGCTTATAGAACTCTCTTCCAGCTCTTTGCTTATGGAACTCTCTTCCAGCTCCTTGCTTATGGAACTCTCTTCCAGCTCTTTGCTTATGGAACTCTCTTCCAGCTCCTTGCTTATGGAAATTCTCTTCCAGCTCTTTTCCAGCTTTGCTTATGGAACTCTCTTCCAGCTCCTTGCTTATGGAACTCTTCCAGCTCCTTGCTTATGGAACTCTCTTCCAGCTCCTTTTGCTTATGGAACTCTCTTCCAGCTCTTTGCTTATGGAACTCTCTTCCAGCTTATGGAACTCTTGCTTATGGAACTCTCTTCCAGCTCCTTGCTTATGGAACTCTTCCAGCTCCTCTCTTCCAGCTCCTTGCTTATGGAACTCTCTTCTCTTTTTGCTTATGAATTCTCTTTGCTCCTTGCTTATGGAACTCTCTTCCAGCTCCTTTGTTTTCCAGAACTCTTCTCTCTTCCAGCTCCTTGCTTATGGAACTCTCTTCCAGCTCCTTGCTTATGGAACTCTCTTCCAGCTCTTTGCTTATGGAACTCTCTTCCAGCTCTTTGCTTATGGAACCCTTCCAGCTCCTTGCTTATGGAACTCTCTTCCAGCTCCTTGCATATGGAACTCTCTTCCAGCTCTTTGCTTATGGAACTCTCTTCCAGCTCTTTGCTTATGGAACTCTCTTCCAGCTCTTTTGCTTATGGAACTCTCTTCCAGCTCCTTGTTTATGGAACTCTTCCAGCTCCTTTTCTTTATGGAACCTCTTCCATGGAACTTCTCTTCCAGGAACTCTCCTTGCTTATGGAACTCTCTTCCAGCCTTATGGAACTCTCTTCCAGCTCCTTGGAACTCTCTTCCTCTTTGCTCTTTTTGCTTATGGAACTCTCTTCCAGCTCCTTGCTTATGGAACTCTCTTCCCCAGCTCCTTATTCTCTTTCTCCTTGCTTATGGAACTCTCTTCCTGCTCTTTGCTTATGGAACTCTCTTCTCTCCTTGCATATGGAATTCTCTTCCAGCTCCTTGCTTATGCAACTCTCTTCCAGCTCTTTGCTTATGGAACTCTCTTCTCCTTGCTTATGGAATTCTCTTCCAGCTCCTTGCTTATGGAACTCTCTTCCAGCTCTTTGCTTATGGAACTCTCTTCCAGCTCCTTGCTTATGGAACTCTCTTCCAGCTCCTTGCTTATGGAACTCTCTTCCAGCTCCTTGCTTATGGAACTCTCTTCCAGCTCCTTGCTTATGGAACTCTCTTCCAGCTCCTTGCTTATGGAACTCTCTTCCAGCTCTTTGCTTATGGAACTCTCTTCCAGCTCCTTGCTTATGGAATTCTCTTCCAGCTCCTTGCTGGAAAACTCTTCCAGCTCTTTGCTTATGGAACTCTCTTCCAGCTCCTTGCTTATGGAACTCTCTTCCAGCTCCTTGCTTATGGAACTCTTCCAGCTCCTTGCTTATGGAACTCTCTTCCAGCTCCTTGCTTATGGAACTCCTCTCCAGCTCCTTGCTTATGGAACTCTCTTCCAGCTCCTTGCTTATGGAACTCTCTTCAGCTCCTTGCTTATGGAACTCTTCCAGCACCTTGCTTATGGAACCTTTTTCTCCTTGCTTGCATAAATTCTCTTCCAGCTCCTTGCTTATGGAACTCTCTTCCAGCTCTTTGTTTATGGAACTCTTCCAGCTCTTTGCTTATGGAACTCTCTTCCAGCTCCTTGCTTATGGAACTCTCTTCCAGCTCTTTTGCTTATGGAACTCTCTTCCAGCTCCTTGCTTATGGAACTCTCTTCCAGCTCCTTGTAAATATGGAACTCTTCCAGCTCTTTGCTTATGGAACTCTCTTCCAGCTCTTGTTTATGGAACTCTTTTCCAGCTCCTTGCATATGGAACTCTCTTCCAGCTCTTTGCTTATGGAACTCTCTTCCAGCTCCTTGCTTATGGAACTCTCTTCCAGCTCCTTGCTTATGGAACTCTCTTCCTGCTCTTTGCTTATGGAACTCTCTTCCAGCTCCTTGCATATGGAATTCTCTTCCAGCTCCTTGCTTATAAAATTCTCTTCCAGCTCCTTGCTTATGGAACTCTCTTCCAGCTCCTTGCTTATGGAATTCTCTTCCAGCTCCTTGCTTATGGAACTCTCTTCCAGCTCCTTGCTTATGGAACTCTCTTCCAGCTCCTTGCTTATGGAACTCTCTTCCAGCTCCTTCTCTTGAAATTCTTTCCAGCTCCTTGCTTATGGAACTCTCTTCCAGCTCTTTTGCTTATGGAACTCTCTTCCAGCTCCTTGCTTATGGAATCTCTCTCTTTGCTTATGGAACTCTTCCAGCTATGCTTATGGAACTCTCTTCCAGCTCTTTGCTTATGGAACTCTCTTCCAGTCCTTGCTTATGGAATTCTCTTCCAGCTCTTTTGCTTATAGAACTCTCTTCCAGCTCTTTGCTTATGGAACTCTCTTCCAGCTCCTTGCTTATGGAACTCTCTTCCAGCTCCTTGCTTATGGAACTCTTCCAGCTCTTTGCTTATGGACTCTCTTCCTGCTCTTTGCTTATGGAATTCTCTTCCAGCTCCTTGTTTATGGAACTCTCTTCCAGCTCCCTTGCTTATGGAACTCTCTTCCAGCTCTTTGCTTATGGAACTCTTCCAGCTCTTTGCTTATGGAACTCTCTTCCAGCTCCTTGCTTTATGGAACTCTCTTCCAGCTCCTTGCTTATGGAACTCTCTTCCAGCTCCTTGCTTATGGAACTCTCTTCCAGCTCCTTGCTTATGGAACTCTCTTCCAGCTCTTGCTTATGGAATTCTCTTCCAGCTCCTTGCTTATGGAACTCTCTTCCAGCTCTTGCATATGGAACTCTCTTCCAGCTCCTTGCTTATGGAACTCTCTTCCAGCTCCTTGCTTATGGAACTCTCTTCCAGCTCCTTGCTTATGGAATTCTCTTCCAGCTCCTTGCTTATGGAATTCTCTTCCAGCTCCTTGCTTATGGAACTCTCTTCCAGCTCTCTTCCAGCTCTTTGGAACTCTCTTCCAGCTCCTTGCTTATGGAACTCTCTTCCAGCTCCTTGCTTATGGAACTCTCTTCCAGCTTCTCTCTTCTCCTTGTCTATGGAACTCTCTTCCAGCTCCTTGCTTATGGAACTCTCTTCCAGCTCCTTGCTTATGGAACTCTCTTCCAGCTCTTTGCTTATGGAACTCTTCTTCTTTTTGCTTATGGAACTTTCTTCTCCTTGCTTATGGAACTCTCTTCCAGCTCCTTGCTTATGGAATTCTCTTCCAGCTCCTTGCTTATGGAACTCTCTTCCAGCTCCTTGCTTATGGAACTCTCTTCCTGCTCTTTGCTTATGGAACTCTCTTCCAGCTCCTTGCATATGGAACTCTCTTCCAGCTCTTGCTTATGGAACTCTCTTCTCCTGCTTATGGAATCTCTTCCAGCTCCTTGTTTATGGAACTCTCTTCTCTTCAGCTCTTTGCTTATGGAACTCTCTTCCAGCTCCTTGCTTATGGAACTCTCTTCCAGCTCCTTGCTTATGGAACTCTCTTCCAGCTTGCTTATGGAACTCTCTTCCAGCTCCTTGCTTATGGAACTCTCTTCCAGCTCCTTGCTTATGGAAATTCTCTTCCAGCTCCTTGTTATGGAACTTTCTCTTCCAGCCTTGCTTATGGAACTCTCTTCCAGCTCTTGCTTATGGAACTTCTCTTCCAGCTCCTTGCTTATGGAACTCTCTTCCAGCTCCTTGCTTATGGAAATTCTCTTCCAGCTCCTTTGCTTATGGAACTCTCTTCCAGCTCTTTGCTTATGGAACTCTTCTCCTGGCTTATGGAACTTTCCAGCTCTTTGCTTATGGAATTCTCTTCCTGCTCCTTGCTTATGGAACTCTCTTCCAGCTCCTTGCTTATCTCTTCCAGCTCTTTGCTTATGGAACTCTCTTCCTTGCTTATGGAACTCTCTTCCAGCTTTGCTTATGGAACTCTCTTCCAGCTCCTTGCTTATGGAAATTCTCTTCCAGCTCTTGCATATGGAACTCTCTTCCAGCTCTTTGCTTATGGAACTCTCTTCCAGCTCCTTGCTTATGGAACTCTCTTCCAGCTCCAGCTCCTTCCAGCTCCTTGCTTATGGAACTCTCTTCCAGGAATTCTTTCCAGCTTTGCTCATGGAACTCTCTTCCAGCTCCTTGCTTATGGAACTCTCTTCCAGCTCCTTGCTTATGGAACTCTTCCAGCTCCTTGCTTATGGAACTCTCTTCCAGCTCTTTGTTTATGGAACTCTTCCAGCTCTTGCTTATGGAACTCTCTTCCAGCCCTTGCTTATGGAACTCTCTTCCAGCTCCTTTGCTTATGGAACTCTCTTCCAGCTCCTTGCTTATGGAACTCTTCCAGCTCCTTGCTTATGGAACTCTTCCAGCTCTTTGCTTATGGAACTCTTTCCAGCTCTTGGCTTATGGAACTCTTCCAGCTCCTTGCTTATGGAACTCTCTTCCAGCTCTTTGCTTATGGAACTCTCTTCCAGCTCCTTGCTTATGGAACTCTCTTCCAGCTCCTTGAGAGCTCTTCCAGCTTTGCTTATGGAACTCTTCTTCTTGCTTGCAATGTTCTCTTCCAGCTCTTTTATGGAACTCTTCCAGACTTGCTTATGGAACTCTCTTCCAGCTTCCTTTCTTGCTTAACTTCTTTGCTTATGGAACTCTTCCAGCTCCTTGCTTATGGAACTCTCTTCCAGCTCCTTGCTTATGGAACTCTCTTCTTCCAGCTCTTTGCCTATGGAACTCTCTCTTCAGCTCCTTGCATTATGGAACTCTCTTCCAGCTCTTGCTTATGGAACTCTCTTCCAGCTCCTTGCTATGGAACTCTCTTCCAGCTTATGGAACTGCTTATGGAACTCTCTTCCAGGAACTCTCTTCTCCTTGCTTATGGAATTCTCTTCCAGCTCCTTGCTTATGGAACTCTCTTCCAGCTCCTTGCTTATGGAACTCTCTTCCAGCTCCTTGCTTATGGAACTCTCTTCCAGCTCCTTGCTTATGGAACTCTCTTCCAGCTCCTTGCATATGGAACTCTCTTCCAGCTCTTTGCTTATGGAACTCTCTTCTCCTTGCTTATGGAATTCTCTTCCAGCTCCTTGCTTATGGAACTCTCTTCCAGCTCCTTGCTTATGGAACTCTCTTCCAGCTCCTTGCTTATGGAACTCTCTTCCAGCTTATGGAACCTTGCTTTGCTCTTCCAGCTCCTTGCTTATGGAACTCTTCCAGCTCTTGCTTATGGAATTCTCTTCCAGCTCCTTGCTTATGGAACTCTCTTCCAGCTCCTTTGCTTATGGAACTCTCTTCCAGCTCTTTGCTTGGAACTCTTCTCTCTTTGCTTATGGAATTCTTCTTGCTTATGGAACTCTCTTCCAGCTCCTTGCTTATGGAACTCTTCCAGCTCCTTGCTTGGAACTCTCTTCCAACTCTCTTCCTCTTTTTGCTTGGAACTCTCTTCCAGCTCTTGCTGGAACTCTCTTCCAGCTCCTTGCTTATAAAATTCTCTTCCAGTCTCTTGCTTATGGAACTCTCTTCCAGCTCCTTGCTTGGAACTCTCTTCCAGCTCCTTGCTTGTGACTCTTCCTGCTTGGAACTCTCTTCCAGCTCCTTGCTTATGGAACTCTCTTCCAGCTCCTTTGCTTGGAACTCTCTTCCAGCTCCTTGCTTATGGAAACTCTCTTCCAGTTCTTGCTTATGGAACTCTCTTCCAGCTCTTTGCTTTGGAACTCTCTTCCAGCTCCTTGCATATGAACTCTCTTCCAGCTCTTTGCTTATGGAACTCTCTTCCAGCTCCTTGCTTATGGAATTCTTCCAGCTCCTTGCTTGGAGGAACTCTCTTCCAGCTCCTTGCATATGGAACTCTCTTCCAGCTCTTTGCTTATGGAACTCTCTTCCAGCTCCTTGCTTATGGAACTCTCTTCCAGCTCCTTGCTTATAAACTCTCTTCCAGCTCTTGCTTATGGAACTCTTCCAGCTCCCTTGCTTATGGAACTCTCTTCCAGCTCCTTGCTTATGGAACTTCCAGCTCTTTGCTTATGGAACTCTCTTTCTCTTGCTTATGGAACTCTCTTCCAGCTCCTTTGCTTATGGAACTCTCTTCCAGCTCCTTGCTTATGGAACTCTCTTCCAGCTCTTTGCTTATGGAACTCTCTTCTCTTTGCTTATGGAACTTTCCAGCTCCTCCTTGCTTATGGAAATTCTCTTCCAGCTCCTTGCTTATGGAACTCTCTTCCAGCTCCTTGCTTATGGAACTCTCTTCCAGCTCTTTGCTTATGGAACTCTCTTCCAGCTCCTTGCTTATGGAACTCTCTTCCAGCTCCTTGCTTATGGAACTCTCTTCCAGCTCTTGCTTATGGAACTCTTCCTTCTCTTTGCTTATGGAACTCTCTTCCAGCTCTTGCTTAAACTCTCTTCCAGCTCTTTGCTTATGGAACTCTTCCAGCTCCTTGCTTATGGAACTCTCTTCCAGCTCCTTGCTTATGGAACTCTCTTCCAGCTCTTTGCTTATGGAACTCTGGAATTCTTTCCAGCTCCTTGCTTATGGAACTCTCTTTTGGAATTCTTTGCCTATTATGGAAACTCTTCCAGCTCTTTGCTTATGGAACTCTCTTCCAGCTCCTTGCTTATGGAACTCTCTTCCAGCTCCTTGCTTATGGAATTCCTTCCAGCTCCTTGCTTATGGAACTCTCTTCCAGCTCCTTGCTTTATGGAACTCTTCCAGCTCTCTTATGGAACTCTCTTCCAGCTCCTTGCATATGGAACTCTCTTCCAGCTCTCTTCTCCAGCTTTGCTTATGGAACTCTCTTCCAGCTCCTTGCTTATGGAAACTCTCTTCCAGCTCTTTGCTTATGGAACTCTCTTCTTCCAGCTCCTTGCTTATGGAACTCTCTTCCAGCTCTTTGCTTATGGAACTCTCTTCTCCTTGCATATGGAATTCTCTTCCAGCTCCTTGCTTATGGAACTCTCTTCCAGCTCCTTGCTTATGGAACTCTCTTCCAGCTCCTTGCTTATGGAACTCTCTTCCAGCTCCTTGCTTATGGAACTCTCTTCCAGCTCCTTGCTTATGGAACTCTCTTCCAGCTCCTTGCTTATGGAACTCTTCCAGCTTTTTGCTTATGGAACTCTCTTCCAGCTCCTTGTTTATGGAACTCTCTTCCAGCTCTTTGCTTATGGAACTCTCTTCCAGCTCCTTGCTTATGGAATTCTCTTCCAGCTCCTTGCTTATGGAACTCTCTTCCAGCTCCTTGCTTATGGAATTCTCTTCCAGCTCCTTGCTCTCTTCCAGCTCCTTGCTTGGGAACTCTCTTCCAGCTCCTTGCTTATGGAACTCTCTTCCAGCTCTTGCTTATGGAATTCTCTTCCAGCTCCTTGCTTATGGAACTCTCTTCCAGCTCCTTGCTTATGGAACTCTCTTCCAGCTCTTTGCTCTTATGGAACTCTTCTTTCCAGCTCCTTGCATGGAACTCTCTTCCAGCTCCTTGCTTATGGAAATCTCTTCCAGCTCCTTTGCCTATGGAACTCTCTTCCAGCTCCTTGCTTATGGAACTCTCTTCCAGCTCTCTTGCTTATGGAACTCTCTTTCCAGCTTCTCTTCCAGCTCTTGCTTATGGAACTCTCTTCCAGCTCCTTGCTTATGGAACTCTCTCCAGCTCCTTGCTTATGGAACTCTCTTCCAGCTCCTTGCTTATGGAACTTTCTCTTCCATGGATCCTTTCTTATGGAACTCTCTTCCAGCTCCTTGCTTATGGAACTCTCTTCCAGCTCCTTGCTTATGGAACTCTCTCTCCTTGCTTATGGAATTCTCTTGCTCCTTGCTGGAACTTTCAGCTCCTTGCTTATGGAACTCTCTTCCAGCTCTTTGCTTATGGAACTCTCTTCCAGCTTCTTGCTTATGGAACTCTCTTCCAGCTCCTTGCTTATGGAACTCTCTTCCAGCTCCTTGTCTATGGAACTCTCTTCCAGCTCCTTGCTTATGGAACTCTCTTCCAGCTCCTTGCCTGGAAACTCTCTTCCAGCTCTTTGCTTATGGAACTCTCTTCCAGCTCCTTGCTTATGGAAACTCTCTTCCAGCTTCTTGCTTATATCTCTTCCAGCTCTTTGCTCTCTTCCAGCTCCTTGCTTATGGAACTCTCTTCCAGCTCCTTGCTTATGGAAACTCTTCTTCCTTTCCAGCTTGCCTCTCTTCCAGCTCTTTGCTTATGGAACTCTCTTCTTGCCTGGATGGAACTCTCTTCCAGCTCCTTGCTTATGGAACTTGCCAGCTCTTTGCTTATGAACTCTCTTCCAGCTCCTTGCTTATGGAACTCTCTTCCAGCTCTTTGCTTATGGAACTCTCTTCCAGCTCCTTGCTTATGGAACTCTCTTCCAGCTCCTTGCTTATGGAACTCTTCCAGCTCCTTGCTTATGGAACTCTCTTCCAGCTCTTTGATGGAACTCTCTTCCAGCTCCTTGCTTATGGAACTCTCTTCCAGCTCCTTGCTTATGGAACTCTCTTCCAGCTTTCTTGCTCTGGAGAACTCTCTTCCAGCTCCTTGCTTCTCTTCCAGCTCCTTGATGGAACTCTCTTCCAGCTCCTTGTCTTATGGAACTCTCTTCCAGCTTCTTGCTTGGAGAAACTCTCTTCCAGCTTCTTGCATATGGAACTCTCTTCCAGCTCCTTGCTTTCTTCCAGCTCTTTGCATATGGAACTCTCTTCTCAGCTCTCTTCCAGCTCCTTGCTTATGGAACTCTCTTCCAGCTCCTTGCCTGGAGGAACTCTCTTCCAGCTTTCTTGCTTATGGAACTCTTCCAGCTCTTTTTGCTTATGGAACTCTCTTCCAGCTCCTTGCTTGGAGGAACTCTCTCTTCCTTGCTTTATGGAACTCTCTTCCAGCTCCTTGCTTATGGAACTCTCTTCCAGCTTCTTGCTTATGGAACTCTCTTCCAGCTCTTCCAGCTGCTTATGGAACTCTTCTTCCAGCCCTTGCTTATGGAACTCTCTTCCAGCTCCTTGCTTATGGAACTCTTCCAGCTCCTTGCTTATGGAACTCTCTTCCAGCTTCTTGCTCTTTATGGAACTCTCTTCCAGCTCCTTGCTTATGGAACTCTTCTTCCTTGCAGAACTCTCTTCCAGCTCCTTGATGGAACTCTCTTCCCAGCTTCTTGCTTATGGAACTCTCTTTCCCTTGCTTCTTGCTCTTTGCTTATGGAACTCTCTTCCAGCTTCTTCCAGCTCCTTGATGGAACTCTCTTCCAGCTCTCTTCTTCAGCTTCTTGCTTATGGAACTCTCTTCCAGCTCCTTGCTTGGAGAACTCTCTTCCAGCTTCTTGCTTATGGAACTCTCTTCCAGCTCTCTTGCTTATGGAACTCCTTCCAGCTCCTTGCTTATGGAACTCTTCCAGCTCCAGCTTCTTGCTTATGGAACTCTCTTCCAGCTTCTTGCTTGGAGAACTCTCTTCCAGCTCCTTGCTTATGGAACTCTCTCTTCCAGCTTCTTGCTTATCTCTTCCAGGAAACTCTCTTCCAGGAATTCTCTTGCTCCTTGGAGGAACTCTCTTCCAGCTCCTTGGAACTCTCTTCCAGCTCCTTGGAAAACTCTCTTCCAGCTCCTTGCCTGGAGAACTCTCTTCCAGCTCCTTGCTTAGCTCTGGAACTCTCTTCCAGCTCCTTGCTTATGGAACTCTCTTCCAGCTCTTGCTTATGGAACTCTCTTCCAGCTTCTTGCTTATGGAACTCTCTTCCAGCTCCTTGCTTATGGAACTCTCTTCCAGCTTCTTGCCTATGGAACTCTCTTCCAGCTCCTTGCTTATGGAAACTCTCTTCCAGCTCCTTGCTTCTTCCAGCCTGGAACTCTCTTCCAGCTCCTTGCTTATGGAACTCTCTTCCAGCTCCTTGCTTATGGAACTCTCTTCCAGCTCCTTGCTTATGGAACTCTCTTCCAGCTCCTTGCCTGGAACTGGAACTCTCTTCCAGCTCCTTGCTCTATGGAACTCTCTTCCAGCGTCTCTTGCTCTTTGTTAAAACTCCTTGCCTTGATGGAACTCTCTTCCAGCTCCTTGCTTATGGAACTCTCTTCCAGCTCTTTGCTTATGGAACTTCTCTTCCAGCTCCTTGCTTATGGAACTCTCTTCCAGCTCCTTGCTTATGGAACTCTTCTCTTCCAGCTCCTTGCTTATGGAACTCTCTTCCAGCTTGCTTTATGGAACTCTCTTCCAGCTCCTTGCTTATGGAACTCTCTTCCAGCTCCTTGCTTATGGAACTCTCTTCCAGCTCCTTGCTTATGGAACTCTCTTCCAGCTCCTTGCTTATGGAAACTCTCTTTGCAGGAACTCTTCTTGCTCTTGCCTGGATGGAAACTCTCTTCCAGCTCCTTGCTTATGGAACTCTCTCTCCAGCTCCTTATGGAACTCTCTTCCAGCTCCTTGGAGGAACTCTCTTCCAGCTTCTTTGCTTATGGAACTCTCTTCCAGCTCTTTGCTTATGGAACTCTCTTCCAGCTCCTTGCCTTATGGAACTCTC